TCAGATTTTGAACCAAATCGAACATCATAGGATTATTATAAATAACAACATTTTCATATCCCAGAACACTGTTTACTTCTAAAAAAACCGATTCAATTTTAACTATTTTTTTTTAACAAAACAAATGACTGTTGTGCTAAATAAAAACGTTTAATTTTAATGTTCTTTAAATTAATTAAATTAATAATCTTATTATTAAGAGATAAAAAATCATCTTCACATTGGCTTAATATCGTATCTTTTAATATCTTAATATCTTTTTTAATTTTTTCAATGTATTTTTCTTCAATTTTTGGTATAAAAATTTTACACACGTCTTCTATTTCTATATCAAAACAATCAAAAATTTCCATTATTGATTTATCTTCTGAATCAGAATCTATTATGGATAAACATTTACTAAAAATATTATTAAATTTAAGACATGTTTCTTCAATTTCATTATTATTTAAAAAATTCTCCTGATTAATTACTAATTCAATTATATCAATGAGTTGAAAATTTTTCACATAACTATCTATAGATTTTTTTAATGTATTTTCTACTAAAAAATCAATAAAATGGCTAATTACAACAATTACATCCTTTGATTTTAATCTGCTTAAACTTTCAATGTTTTTTCTAAAATTTTGACTATTTAGATACTTCTTTATTCCTTCATGTAAAATATTTTTTATTTTAATAATATGATTAAAACCAAACACTTCAAATATGCCATCATTTAAATCAAAATCATCATTATATTTATCATGTTTTTGAAGCATGTTGTATAAAAAAAGATTCAATTTTTCATTCATATCTAATGTTGTTATTTTTTTAAATAAAAAAAATACTTTCAATGCTTTCATATTGTTAAGAATTTTCCTTAATAATGATTTAAGATCACAGTCAGATACTTTTAAATCATCAAAAGTGTGATAAAAAAGTTCTTGTAACAAAGACATAGGATGATAACTAGACCTTATAATATTACATATTTCATTCTCCTCATCGGTTATAATTTGCATTACTTTCTTATCTAATTTATTTATGTCATTAATAAGATCTTGAATTACATCATTTTCAGTTGACGTAGATAATATTAAATTTAAAAGGCAATAAATCATGGGTTAAAAAATTTAATAAAAAGAAATATTTAAATAAAAAAGAAAGTAAAAACATGTTAAATGTTAAAAC